GTACAGGCAGAAGCCTACAAGCTGTCTCTCATCTGCATCAGAGGGTCTCCATGATAGCTACACATTAGATACACCTACAGAGCCCAGTCCACTTGGGTCATCCAAAACCAATTAAGTCAGAATCCCTGAGAGGTGGGACCTAGACACTGATTTTGCTAATCCTTCCAGGGGATCCTAATGTGGAACCCTTAATCTACATGGTTAATAAAAGATTGAAACAAGGCAGTTAAATGTCTTCCCTTTTGATTGACATTATGTCAAACACTGGATCTCTGATCTGTCCAAGAAGCTGGTCAGGTATCACCATTTCTTTTCAGAAATCCAGATCTCAGCTTCTCTAGGCTGCTTCCCACAGAACCACAAGGCCTCTCACAATTCACCACTTGCCTTTCTAAAGTCTCACAACTTAGTTTTTTTTTTTTTTTTTTTTTTCCTCCGGTACCAGGAACCGAACTCACGACCTTGCGCTTGCCAGGCAGGCGCTTTGCCACTGAGCTAAATCCCTAGCCCCGCACAACTTACTTTTTAACAATGATGGCCTTAGAAGAGAATAGTCTAGTTCTAGAACTATCTTTAGAACTACCAAATCTCTGAAAAATTGGAGTTCTTGCCAGGCTCTGGTCTTCAGGCCTTCTTTTGCTCTCCATAATTCTGTAGATTGTGATTCTGTGAGCACATGTGAAGGTATTCAGTAGGGAGCAATGGCTCTCCTTTCCCCAGTTTACACCTCCTAGCAAGGCCAGGACCCAGTGGTGGCTCCCTGTCCCTAGTTATACTCTCAAAGTTGTTAGCCTGCCTTTTCCTTTTCATTCTTGCTAGGAAAATACTGATGACTTACTATTGTGAGCATTTTCTACCAGACTCAGTGCATTTTGATAACTGGACTTCCTGACATGCCTATGAGGAGCTCAGACCACTCTGAGTCTGCTTTCAGTGCCACAGACCCCAATGAGCATGGCCTTTTACCATCAGCACTTACTGGACAGCAGCCCATGCAGCTACACTGATGGTTCAGTCCTTCCTCAGTGTCGTCACCTGTCTTCTTAAGCTACCATTTATGACTGTTCTATCAGCATTTCCTTTTAAAAAAGCAATCTTATCCCTCCAGCTGACCTCTCTTTTGGAGTCTGTGGGTATAATGTTAAAAGTTGCTTGCCTTTGAACAATAATTTTCTTCTTACCCAGCCTTCTCTCAGGCCTCACAAACACCCAGACAGTGTCTTTCTCTAAAGATTCTCCCACTTCTACTTCACCAATCAATTTTCCCTTTGTTCCTGAGAGCATCTCTCCTCACAGCCTCCCTCTATCTTCAGAGGGACCAAGCTACTAAGCAGGTTGGGCAAGAATTCACCAGAGGTTCTGATCATGTTGAAACACCACCAGTTCCAACATATCTTGTCTCAAATATGGCAGAAAGATGTGTTTCACCTGTTAAATCCACTTGGCTGAGGGCTAAAAAGTGTTCTCAACTCATACATCTGTTTATTTTTCTAATTTTCACCCATAATGTTCTCAGTCATGCTCCTAAACTGATGCATATATTTTTCTATGCAGGTTTTTTTTTTTTCCACAAATGATCATTTTCCTATGGTACTCTATTAAGACTGCATTTCCCTCACCTATGAATAATTTTTCAGTCATGGCCAGGACCATGGTGAATCCTTGCTCTCCCCGCTCTGCCTGGCCCCAAGGCTCTGCCCTACAGTTCTTTTAGTAAGCCAGGGGATGTCTTGAGATAAACATTTAATTTGTAGTGCTTGTTCCCAACTTAGACAAATGCACCATTGTTTATGCATAAAGATTAACTCTTCTCTGTTTGTTCTAGGGATGATTTGTCACAGTGCACTGGTTACCTACCACATACCAGATATTATGCATACTTTTATCTCATTCAATCCTTACCATAACCCTGCAAAGAAGGGTTACCCTTATCTTTCAACTGAGAAAGCTGATGCTCAAGAAATTAACTATTAACTTTTTTTTAATCAACTGTCTTCATTATGCTACAAAGCCACCACTCAGTTAAAAAATGTGAATCAAAAAGCCTCTGACATCAGCCTAGGATCTAAATCCTTCCTGGAACTAGGAAAGAAGACTATGGTACAGAAATGAACCCCTTCAGGTTTGTTATCTACAGATTCCAGCAATTCCCCCCCCCCCCACAACTTCATGTTAGGGCCCACAGTAGTCACCTACCCCCTGGGGAGCTGTCTTAAAGTCCTGGACTACATTTCTCAGTAGAAGGTTCTCCAGCACCCTCTGCTAAGTCCACTGGGAAAAAGAATGAGTTTCGAGGGAGACAGTAAGCCCATGATAAGCTTCCACCCTATCAGCAGGCAAAACAAAACAGCTATCAGCAGGCAGTTCAAAGGACGTCCCAAAGGCAGCTGGGAGAAATGGGGCCAAGATGGAAAAAAAGAGTACCTAGAGAAAAAGCACCACTCTAACAGAGCAGGGGAAATGCCAGGGAGCAAAGATGAAAGTAGATTTCTGAGGCTTTTGCCCCACCTGAAGAACCTGGCATAAATGACCTTCCCAGCCCTGGGAGGAGTTCCTTCAGCTTTGCACTGCTAGATCTAATGGTTAGGCTCCCAGTAGTCCCCTGGGGCTGCTAAACACTTTGCTCAGGCAAAGTCTCTCAGCTCTGAGACTGTGCCAGAGACATGCCCATTAAACATAATGTTGCCTGGGCAGTTGTTCCCAGGCTTTCAGCCTTCACAGGCTGAAAAAAAAAGTGAAGTGAGCCATTAGTTACCATTTTGTGTTGTACCAAGGAAAGACTTTAAAATTTTTGATCTTTCTATATACATCTTCACTTCATAAAAGAAAGCACATTTTAAATACTGAGAAACAGAAAAGATTTTTCCTTACAACAAGGTACTACTCTTTAAGTCAAGGAAAGTTAGCTTTAAGAAAAAAATTCACTTCACTATCCTCACTGCACTGTTTCTCCACAAACTGGACCCTCTGTCCTAGGGTGACTCTGGCCATGAAGCCAGGTTTACCAGACTCCGGGGGCCTAGAGGAGCAGCCAGCCACAGCAAAGACCAAGGGGGTTCCGACATCTCTCAGCAGCTTTGTTTCTAAGCCTCAGCCAACCCAGATGCAAGGTATCTTCACCATGACCACCCAACGGCCTGGGCCAGCAGCTTACAAACAAGGATGACAAGGCCGTGGCGTCACTCCCAGCCCCTCTCACTCAGGTATGCTCCATCATTGCCAAGAGAAGCACTTCACATCATTCATGAGAGCCAATGGTTCCAAGAACCTCCAGCCCACAAAGCTCAGTCTCCTCACCCCTCCGATTTGGTGATGGGATAGAATGGAGTGAGATACTGTGACTGAGGAAGAAAATAAGCACTGGAAGGAAGGAAGCCAAGGAAATCAAACTTTACAAAGTACATTGGGCAGGTTCTCCTTTCACTAAAACACCAGAGCTCATGCCCAGAACTAAGCCTATACCTGATCCCACTCCCTTTCAAAGAGGACCTACAGGGCATTGGGCCAGCAGGATGCTGACTCTCCCTCCCTCCCAATACCAGCAACATAAAGGGACTGGACACTATCTCTGGGGTGGGGAGCTGCAGGTGTGCTCTAGACGGATATTTTACCAGAGACAGGGTAAACAGGACAGTCTGGACCCCTGGAGTCTGGGGTCCCCAGGTCATTACATGCGGTAGATAAGGGAAGGTGAGAAGGCACAGAAACATCCCAGCAACACCCACTTCCCCACCCCCCATGCTTGGATCTTTTTCCTAGCCACAGGACCACAGCCCCACCAGCTCACGGCACAGCTCTGCACTCAGCGGTCAGGGAAATCCCGAGTACATGCCATCAGCCCATCGCAGCCACAGGTGCCCCAGCCCTCAAAAGCACAGTGGCTCCCCGCCCGGCTTGGGGCTTCAAAGGCCATCAAGCACAACTCCTTCATTTCCCCAAGGAAAATACAGGCCTAGAGAAGCCGGAGTTGTCTGGGCTCTAGGACAAATCAGTGGCAGAGCCCGGGGAGCCCCTGAGACAGCGCAGGCCGCTGTCTCTGTCCAGCGCCAGTTCCACTGACTGTAGCAACCTCAGCCGCTACACCGCTCCGCCTAAACTGCTCAACTTCGCTTGTCCCTACTTCTGCCAACTCTGCTGTAGTGGCTGCCACCAACCTCGAGCCAGCAGAATGGAAAGGAAAGATGTACAATGGGGGCCACAGCCCTTCCATTTCTGCCCGGACTCCAGTGCTCTGATCCCAACTACTCCTTCCCTCCTCAACCCCAAATAAAGAGGGTATCCTTGGGGCTGACAGTGTCTCAAAAGTACATCGTTCATTCATGAATGAATATCGTGGTGCCCGCTACCTGCCAGATAATACGACTTGGTGCCATGACTGTTCCAGGTTCTGGAAACAGATGTAGAAAGTCTTTGGCCTCAAGAAGTACTCAACACCACACAGGAACCCAAATCACTTGTTCCTCATTAAATTCCCAAGCAGTTTCAACTGGCTCTTGCCATCTAAGAGAAAGGATGGCACCCAAGAAAAAGTTTAAGAAACATTTCTACTCCCGTGCAAACAGCATAAAGCCATCCTGTGGTGCTAGGGCTTTCTCTCCCGGCCCATCAGCAGCCTCCATCCCTCACCTGATACCATCATTACTCCTCTTGTCACCCAGGTATTAGTGTAACCTTGAAACAATATCTAAAGCTTCAGGCAGAACAGTAAACTTCTAGAGATTAAGCTAGACAACACCGTCTTGCATCAAATGCAAAGATCTAAGATGTAGGGGCTACCCCAGCACTCTCTGGGACCTAGTTCCTCCCACCCAAATTGTCAGCCCCACAAAGTGGGTCACTGCACCTTCCAATGTCAATTACACTCCTCTTCATGGGCCCGAAGTTGGACCAAGAGATCGGAAGTGGGAAAATGTTCTTAACTGAATGAGTCTTTTAACACAAGCCTCATGATCACAGGGCTCTCAAGGAAGGGACAGAGAGCCCAGCAAGAGCCAGCTTACCTCTTTGAGAAGCCCCGCTTTTTTCTTCAGCACCTCACACTTGCGAAGTTTGCAGATCTGGTGTGTGCGGCGGTTGGTACAGCTGGTGCAAGCCCCACAGTTCTCCAGCCTTCGGCACGGCTCACAAGTACCACACCGTTTCCGTTTCTTTCGCCCATCTCCACTCCCTCTCAGCTGGGCCTCACTCCCAGTCACAGGAAGCCCAGGTCCCTGGAAGCCCCCTACCATCACCTGGCCCTGAGGGAAGTCATAAAGACCTGGCAGGTCCGGTTGGACGGCCAGGGGCACCTGAAACTGGCTCATGATGCTGACACTGCCAGAGCGGAGAACATAGGTCCTGTGCAGAACCACAATCCAGTGTCCAGCAGTTTCCTACTGCCTGCAAAAGGCCACCAACAGGTCCTCCTCTCCTAAGACAGTAATCTACAAGGCTGGAAGACACGGAGCTCCCGTCTCCAGGGCGGACGCCTCTTCACCTCCTCTGCAGCAGTCTGACAGGGCTTCCAGGGCCAGTTTCCCACCTGCTGGGGCCCAGGATCTGCGGGAGGACAGCAGCAGCACCCCTCAAGGAAGAGATCATCTTGGCTGGGTGGGTCCTTCACCCTCAGCCAGCCAGTACCGGGGCATGAGGTGAGCAGGTAGCTGTGCGGCGGGGCACGGCAGGGTGGAGTCTCCCCCGGACAGTTCTCCTCTGGGGGTCAGGATGGTGGGGAAGGCAGCGCTGCCTGAAAAAGAGACAGAAAGGGGACGCGCATCACTCCGGGCTCAAGGATAACTTTCATGTGTTACCTCTTACTGCTTCGGGGAAAAGAGAAAATGGGGGAGAGAGGCGCTAGCTCAAATGAACCCCAGGCAGGACTCAGCAGGGAAGAGGACTAGAGCCAGACTTGGCACTCGGGAGGAGAGGACGACGAACTCGAAGGGGCGGTCCAGGTGGGACTTCTGACAAAGTTGCCCGCTGCCAGCCCCCACGCGCCTGTGAGTTTCTCCAAAATTCCCCCCACCGCCTCACCGGAGGCCGCAGGGCCCCGCGCCAGGGCGCAGAGCTCTGAGAATAAAGTTTGCGGAGAGCCTCGCTCGGCCGGGCTGCCCAGCGCCCCCGGCACGGAAGCGGCCTGGAAGCGGGGCGCGCCCGCGGGGAGCCTGCGCTCGG